ATTGAAGTTTTATTTAAGGCTTGTAGTTTTAAGCTTTATGAATGGCATTAACTCGCTTTGTCGTTTTTCAATTTAACGTTTTCAGAAATTGACTTGCTACCTGGACTTGCCACATACAAACGGTTAACCTTAGGTGTTATGTTGTGTTTACTGGGAACAGAAGTATCTTCGAAGCTTTGGCAGAATTATTTTTCTCGTTAAAGACGTGTATCTAGAAAAATAAGACTGATGGGATTTTTTGAAGAAACTGCTCCAAGAGGTAGACTACTAGGTTCAGACTAAGAACTTTACCCTAGGACATGTAGTATTCCGCATATTTGATAGGCTGTTGAATTACAATATAAAATGAAATTAAAATTTAATTTAATGAACTGGAACAGATCTAATGAAAAACAGCGAAATGTGTTCAGAAGATCATGCCATGTCTTTGCCAACAAATCAAAAGACTATTCTAGTAATTCGGTTAAAATGCTACATGCCAGATAACTGCGACTTCGACACGACCGTTTTCAGGCCAAACACTGAGTAGAAACAGAAATGTAACATCAGATTCGAAGCGATTATGTTTAATCTAGAACAAAAAAGGCTTAAAATGTCTGAAAAATTTCGTCCTCTGTTCATAAGGGTTGCAACATTAATGATTATGGGTTACAGTTACGGGCCATGTTATTAGGTTGCATTCTCAAATCATGACCATCTAGATGGTGTGAAATATTCGATTGTAATTTTTTCGTTTTTTGGTATATTCATCAGGCATCGTCCAGGTATTCCATCCATTATGCTGGTGAGTTTTCACCCTCTGTTTAGGCGGTTAACATCATGGCGGAAAGATTTAATCAAATTTTAATCGCGGATTAATTTGAATGGTGCAGCTTAATCCATTTTTCTAACTTTGAGGTTGGAGTTTTCTTCTAGACAATAGTTGACAAAGGAAATTATCATGTTTTTTGTAAAATGGGAGATTGGATGTGACTGATTTGCTCCACGTGGTACCTTTTGAATTCACACTGTGATACAAAACAACCAGTCTTCATGCCAAAGATAAGTTATCAGCGGACATCCAGGGTAGTTGGCCGGACACCAGCTACTCACTGCATTTTCAGACTCACATACACTGTAAATCGTTTATCTGTCCAAACCCAAAAGTACTTTTCAGAGCAACTGGGGAATTTGACTATGGAAGAAGCTGTCACCATGATCTGCCAGTCTTTGACGGGTGAAGATGGGCAAGCTGCCGTTATCAGAACTTTAAACCATATTAATGCACTGATAGCAAGCCTCCGAGACACGATTAAAAGAAATGATACATCAAAAATGTTCTCCAGATGGCCAGAC